TTGTTACGAAATTCGAGAGTATTCAGTTTCGATAAGAAAAAAGAAGATCTAAGCATATACGACAGAAGATGAAGTGGAGTCTCGCCCCGGATGCATTAATTGTCTGCTGTGCTCCGCGCGCTTGGCAGACACCAAGATGCTAGGCCCGGTTAGATACGTTGGCATTTAAAACCACGTGAGAGAGCTCGGGAACAAAACAGAACGAACGAGAAAGATCCGCGGGTGTTTTATAAAAAGGGCCGTCGGCAGTATTGGANTTTTTTAGAAAACATCTTTTAGTGGTGGCTACACAGAAATAAAAATGTCAAAATTTCTTTTATTTTTATTACCACTTTTTAAAATTCTCAAGGACCGTGGGAACCCTGAATAATAAAATGTGCTAAAAGTATAAAGAGTAAAAAGTTTTAAAATACACCTGTAGCTCAAACAATTGACATGAAAAAAAAGTTAAAATCAGAAAGCTAAAAGATTTGAAATACAGAAAGTAAACTAATTGATATAAAACAAGTTAAAATCAGATAGTTAAAAAGAGACAAAACAAATCAAAGAGAAATTAAAAGATTAAACGTAATGATTTGCTTGATTTTTCATGAAACCAAATATAATTCATACAGGTAGTCCAAAAGCTGTGGGTTCACTGTTTATATAATGCTTTATATTATTCATAATAATTCAGCAAAATCAATAAATTCACAATGTTTGTGTACCAGACACAGACTGCATAGATAGTAATATTCTCGCTGTCGTTGAGATAAATTTTCTTTAGGATCAAAACTTGGCTGCCAAATCTTCACTGGACAAAATTTTGCGGTCAAAACTTCGCCGATCCATAATTTTGCGGTTACGAAATTTAGCAGATTCACAACTTTGCGGGTACAAAACTTCGCAGATTCATAACTTCGCAATTCCATAACTTTGCGGGTACAAAACCTTGCAGATCCACAACTTTGCGGGTGCAAAACTTAGCAAATCCATAACTTTGTGAATACCTGAAATCTCATTAAAAAATAAGATTGTATTTTTTTCTGAAAAAAAATTTATTACTTAAATGGTATAACAGTTGTTCAGGTACCCCATGTTTGTTTGCAAGTTAAATATAAATAGTTTTAGTTTTATAAGAATATCTCAGTACCCTTCGATATAACAGGTGTTCAGTGTTAGAGAAAGTATTGTGTTGTAGCTCCCCCTAGAGAAAAATTAATTAGTGTAAAGAGAGGCAGTGTGTCTATGTGAGTGTTATGTGTAAGGAGTGAAACAATCTTCAAAAAATAAAGTGATAATTTAAATTTCCGGTCATCTTTTTTGTGTTGTGAATGTTTTGAGAACTAGCGAATAAACAACAGGAATACTAAAACAATTATACAGCAAAATATTAAGTTACCAATTTCTGAACTTAAAATCTAATTACTCCTGCCATATTTTGCAAAAAAATTTGGCCTTTTTTGCAACACGTAGTGCAACTTAAACCTGTGAAAGGGTAGAGGAAAGAAATGTCTACAGAGATAAAATTTTTGTATTAAAATAATAATCTGTAATCGTTTAAAATATATTTAATTCAATATTTTTACTTTATTAAAAAAGCTAATTATGAATTTGAATTTATTAAAATTATATAATACGTCAAATATTTTCTATTAAAATTAATGCATAAGTTAATTATAATTTAATTTTTATTGTTTAATTTTAGAATTTGTCCATGAAGTTTTGTCCACGCGAAGTTATGTATTCGAAGTTTCGGCTATATCCAGGATATATTCTGATTTCGGCTATATTCTAATTTTTTATATCTAGGGTCACCCTAATAGTATGCTTTTCAGATAATTTATCTTTGTTAATGAAATTAATCATAGTCTTTAAAAATGCATTCCCTACTCGAACTGAAGACAAATTGATTCAGCAAATTTAATTGTTCCTATTGATAAATCAGTCGCTTGCTTAATACAGTTTACCTAAAATTTTGCCCCAGAACAGGGTGTGTGATTTAGGCCTACATGATTCTGGGAATGCAGTAGAAGAGAAAACTTTTCGAAAGCTAAAAAAGAAGAAAAAATTTATAATTTAAAACTTTGTTGGATATCTTTGTGAAAGAAAATATGAAAATTCGTCGAAATCATATAGTACTACTAGATAATTTAGAGAAAAAACTGATTAAAGATTACTATATTCTGAATATATTGCAGAAGTTCTAGTTAGCAAAGATTTCATGGGCTTAGCTATTGGTCTTCATGATGGAAATATTGAAAAAGCGAGATGCATAAAAAAAGAAATTCTGCTTTAAATGTAAAAAGTGTAGTTTTAAAATTCATGGAAGGATCAAAAGTGCAGTCGAAAAAGCGAGAAGTCTGCTTGAGTTTACTGAAGAATCCGTGCAAAATCCTCAGCGGCTTGTAGGAAAAATTATAAGAAAAAATGCGTACCTTATAAAAAATATAATAAGAAACTCTGGTGTTGTACGTATTGGAACGGATAAAAAAAATCATAAGAGACCCAACAGATCACGTTGCATTTGTAATTGTTGGAACAGAAGAAAACATTAAATTCTTCAATTCAATTATTACTTATAATGTTTCGTATATTAACATAAAGTTACATGATCAGTAATCAATTAAATCTTCGGATGTTTCAGATGATTTTAAATTGTTCCAAAATCATAACTGTGGTTCAGGAATCAAACTTCCAAGATTTTTTTGTAGGATGTCATTTTTTTTTATCTGTCTCGAGCAGGAAGTTTTAGTGGAGATTTCTTCTCTGCTACAGATGATTTTAAGAACTCGACATCGATCCGGTTGTCATCTTTGAAAGAATTCTTCGAAAAGTTTAATCCCTCTTTGGATCATCATCTTCACCATGTTATTCAAGTAGGATAAAATGCGGTTCAAGTGAATAACCTATCAGAATTTATTCCATTTACTGGCTGTTGAGGGGTCGATATGCGGACTGTATTTACGAATGATTAACAACAAACGATAAGTATTTAACAATTTATTAACGAAACGATGAATGACGCCATTTGAAGACGTCCGACTATATTAAAAAAAACAATAACAAGAGCTCTTCTTTTTCGCCAAATTAAAAGATAAACGAAGTCAAAGCCGAGAGAGGCGCCAACATACCGCCCGGCTTTGAAATATCCATTTCAAACAAATATATATACAACAATAAATGACAATTTATAATGCAAATGATTAAAAAAAAAGTTACAAAATCTATGACTAAATAACCAAATAACATAATATTTTTCAAAAGCAAACTAAATGCACACAATCACATTCTTTATGACAACAATAAAAAAATAAACATCCAAAACTAATTGCTAGTAGACTCATTGATAGGTAAAACGCATATATTTGATATGCTGCGTTTAAAGAAACCTTGTGCAGTTTTTACAATAACAACTCGAATTTTTCTATCATTTCCTGGGATAACCTCATAGATACGACCAATAATCCATGAACAAAGGGGTTGATTATCTTCATTAATTAAAACTAGTGTTCCTGGTTTAACATTGTTTTTTTCGAATAACCATTTACTTCTTTGCTGTAAATTATTTAGATAATCTCTTGACCATTTTTTCCAAATAGTTTGATTGATTTTTTGTATCCTATGCCACCGAGAGAGTCGATTATCAGGAATGTCTGCAACAGGAAATTCCGGAATACTGTTTATGGGTCGCCCAATTAAAAAATGACTGGGAGTTAGGGTCTCAAAATCATTGGGGTCCGAAGAAAGGGGAAAAAGTGGTCTACTGTTTAATACACTTTCAATTTGGTTCATAACCGTTAAAAATTCTTCTAATGTTAATTTAGAGTTTCCAATAGCTCTTTTCAAATGGTGCTTAAAAGATTTGACTTCCGCCTCCCAAATGCCACCAAAATTTGGCGATCTAGGAGGAATAAATTTCCAAACAACGAATTCATGGGATAAATAAGAAGCAAGATTTTCTGAATTTTTAACAATATCATACAATTTTCTCAATTCAGAATGAGCACCAGTATAATTTGTGGCATTATCGGAAAATATAATAGAAGGCAAACCTCTTCTCGCAAAACACCTTTTAAGGGTGGCAATTAATGCTTCTGCTGTCAAATCACTTACTATTTCCAAATGAATTACAACATAGATTTTGTTTAAGATTCCCTTCCGCTGATTTTTATATTTAATAAGAAAGGGACCGCATAAGTCGTTGCCAGTTTTTGAAAAAGGGGGTGGCTTATGGTAACTCTTTCTTTCGGTAACGAAGCCATAATTTGCTGTTCTATTTTAGGTTTGGCTTTGAAACATGTTATGCGTGAACGATTTTTCGAGCACTGTTCCTACCATTTAGGGGCCAAAACTCTTGTCTAACACAATGAAGCAAAGTTTGCGCACCAACATGCAAATTTTTTAAACGAAAATACTGGAAAATTAAAGTAGTTATTTTATGATCTCTTGGAATTAGCAATGGGTGCTTTTGTTCATAAGATAAATTCGAATTGTTGATTCCGCCCCCTACTCTAACTAAATCATTAGAATCAAGAAAAGGATTTAAATTACTTACGTGACTGTCCTTCAAACTTTTTTTATTTTTTAATGCATGTATCTCCTTCCTAAATACAATTACCTGTACTAACTTCACTAGAGAAAGCTTTGCATGCTGAAGTTCCTCTCTAGTGACGGGACCAATCATCCTTTCCTCTTTCCGACAATTAGAAATGAACCTATAAATGTAACTCAAGATAAGAATTAGTTTTACAAAATTATTACTTAAAGTGAGAAAACTATTAACAGAGTCTGAGTTGGAAGACAAAGTAAGAGTTATATTCGATGATTTTTTCAGTTCATGCTCATAAAGTTCACTGTTCAAATTTTCAATGGATTGTTGATCGGTTGGTTGAATGTCTAAACTCGATGGTTCAGAAAACCACAAGTCCAGTGACTCCAATTCGGAAGGATCGATTCCTCGCGAAATCAAGTCAGCAGGATTCCCCTCCGATAGTATATGTCTCCAGTGAAAATTATTTGAAAATGTTTGAATTTTGGATACACGATTTCCAACAAATGTATTCAATTGGAGAAGAGTTAATCCAAGCCAATGCGATGGTAGAGTCTGAAAATAAAGTGACCTCTTTGATATCCATTCTTAAAGCAGCTATAACTTTTTGAACTAACTTAGCAAGTAAAAGGCTTGCACATAACTCCAAACGAGGTACGGATGTTGTTTTTAGAGGTGCAATTCTAGATTTACTGGCTAGGATTTTAACGGCAGAGTTAGAACTGCCAGGATGAAGATATATCATAGCTCAGTACGCCAAAGTGGAAGCATCAGCAATCAAACGAGAGCAATTTTCTTAACTTTAGAGGTTAGAACATATCTGTCGATTCGAATGTTCTCTAAAGCTTTCAGGTTACTGACAAAACGATTCCATTCTCGAGCAATGTGCTCCGGCAAATTGTCATCCCAATTAAGGTTTTGAGTCCAAAGTTTTTGAAGCATTATCTTAGCTCTACTGATGACGGGTCCAAGAAAGCCAATTGGATCATACAACCTAGCAATGACTGACAATACATCTCGTTTGGTATAGGTTGATTGCTGGGACACGCATACTTTGAAAGTGAACTTGTCTTGTCCCGGTTGCCAAATTATATCTAGTGTTTTAGTAGATTCTTCAGTCTCGAAAGAGAATTCTTCGTTAAAGTTTCTGTCATTCATCAAGTCCCTGGAATTCGAGTTCCATTTGTGCAAGGTCATGCCACAACTATCAAACATTTTTACCAATTGAGTCTTTAACTCTAAAGCCGATTCAAGATCTGTTGATCCAGTAACTACATCGTCCATGTATAAATCAGAAAGAAAAACTTCTGAAGCAAGAGGGTAATTCAACTTTGCATCTATTGCTAACTGCTTTAATGTTCTAATGGCCAGAAATGGAGCGGTTTTTGTTTCATACGTAATTGTATTCATTCTGAATACTGTAGGCACCTCGTCTTCTTAATTTTCCACAAAATTCTCAATAAATCTCTTTGAGACGGATAGATTAATATTTGACGAAACATCTTCCTAATATCAGCTGTTAAGGCAATCTTGTGTTTTTGAAATCGAACAATTAAATCAAAAACGTTTTCTCTCGCTTCTCCGGTTAACAATATGTCATTTAAGCTTTGTCCTGCCGATGTAGGCGTAGAGGCATTAAATACGACTCTTAGTTTTGTCGAAGTTTTTTTGGGGCGAAAAATGCCATGATGTGGCATGTAATATGATAAAGAAGGTGAAACATCCTCTACAACTTTTTCCATGTGATTCAAATTTTCGTATTCATTTATGAATTCACAATAAAGTTTCTTCATTTCAGGATTGGTGTTCAATCTTCTCACGGTCTGATTCAAGCGTTTCCGAGCTAAATAACGAGATTCACCGATAGTTTCCAGCGCTTCCTCACGAATAGGCATTTTGACCATGTAACGACCGTTTTCTGTTCTTTTATGATTATTTTGAAAGTGACTTTCGCAAAATGCTTCTTCATCACTCAAAATTCGGGTATTATCAATTTCTTCAATTTCCCAACATTTCTTAATGCTATTTTCAATGTTTTCTGCACGATAAACTAAATTACAATAATGTTTTGGAATCATATGAACCACCAGCAATAAAACAAAAAACGGAATCTTGAAATGTTAAGTTTTCTGAAGTGCGATATTTATTTTCTTTAATGATTTCAAAAAAAAATGTTCAGCGCCTAAGATCATATCAATTTTTCCAGCCTTAGCGAAAGAGGGATCAGATAATATTAAATGATTGGGAACAATAATGTTCTCTAAATTCAAAGTGTTAGAAGGAATTAAATCCGTAATTTTATTGATTACTAAAAATTCAGTGCGAAGCGAAAACGATGAATCTTTATTAGAAACAAGAGCATTCAATTTATATTTAACATTTGTTTCATTTCCTCCTAACCCACTTATTGGAATATTTATTCTTTCTTTTTTCAATTTGATTTTGTTTGCGAAATCCGAAGTCATAATATTTACCATACTTCCACTATCCAACAATAAACGTCCTTGAACAAAACAGTTGCTCACAGGTTTCCAAATCCAAGCTAGAACCGTTGCGAGAATTATGTTTTTATTTCTACAAGTGTTTGTAGTAGCGAACACACGAGATATTAAATTATCATTCGAAACATTATTTATGGCCTGAGAACTCGGACTACAGACTGACGCCTGTGAATCTTGCTCTATTAGAGATTCCGAATGAATCTCCGTTTGGCGAAAATTATTTTCCTTGCGATGCAATAAGGAATTATGCTAAGCTTGACAGAATTTGCATGTAAATTTCGATGGACAGGAATTCAGTTTATGTGATGCATTTAAACAATTAATGCACAGATTATTTTTCTTAACAACATCGAATCTGAGTATTGGTGACATTTTTAAAAAAGAGGGACAGTTGTAAATTAAATGGTCCTTTGAACACAAATAGCATTTATTGCAATTCGATTTCACAACAAAGTTGCGTGCTTTGTTTTGATGTTGAATATTCTTAGCTTTATTCACAAAAAGTTTCCCTGAAGATTTTCTAATGTTTGACATCTTTTTTGAATAAATTCCATAAATGTTTTAAATTTTGGAAGTTCAGTAGAAGTTAAACTCATTTCATACTGTTTGCGACTTTCCTTATCCAATTTTTGAACAGTTATGTTAATTATTAATTGTTCAACAAGATCATTAGTTTCCAATTTCATTAATTTTTAACCTCTTAAACTTATATAAAGTATCAGTTAAATGTCTCAATTCTTTATAAGATTCTACAGAAATTTTTTCAAAATGTTTGAGATATAATTGTTTACAATTAAACGAGTATTTTCAAATCTTTCTTTTAGGATTTTCATCAAGGATTCAAAAGTATCTTCTGGCGTTTCAATATATTTAGCATCAGCTTTTAAAGCTGAATGCAAATAAAACAATTTCTGCATGCTATTTAAAGACTGATTTTCAGTTATCAAACTATCAAATTGAAGCTTAAAGTTATTCCAATTTTCGATTTTTCCATCAAAACAAGGCAAGCAAATATCTGGCAATTTAACATTTATTTTACTAGTACTTAATTGTTCATTGTTATGCAAATGAGAAATATTAGAACTTCTTGAATGAAAAAGTCTTTGTAAGCTTACCTTGCAAGATTCTATCTGTTCTTCCATTTCATCAAAATGGGATTGATAAGCTTCTAATTCTTCATCCTTCAAAATTGAATAATAATCCAGTCTTAAAACTTCAATTTCTTGAAGAATTAATCCTATGCTATCGATACGAGATTGCAGTTCGAGACAATCAGCCTCATTTCCGTTTGTAGAAATGAAGCTTTCCAACCTAGTAATTTTGCTTTTAGAGCTGCCACGACGACAATTCAATTGTTTTAAGCTCCTTTCTTTTTCTTCTTCTTTTTTTTTTGATTAATGGCATGCACTGAATTTGAATCTTTGCCTATGAAGATGCCGGAATTGTTACTCATTTAGCGTTACCCAGTGGGCACCTGTGAACCAAAGTCACGGAAGCGAGCAACGTTGCCCACGCCACACTGCCACAAACCCGTTTATAGGGTGGGCCACATTCACACATCACACACAACAGAGGACAGCACAAAGAGAGAGAGAAACATCCATGCCCAGGGCGGGATTCGAACCCGCAGCCAATGGCTTCGCAGTCAGGCGCGCTAACAGCTCGGCCACCTGGCCGGCAAGCTCTTTTCATATTGTTCCTCAGTGTTTGAAGTATCAGTCATTTTTATAAATCGAAAATACGAGTACCAAGACGAAGTTATGACGAAACGAAAACGAAAGTTGATCAAAATTAATATTTTCGAATTATATCAGGTTTGAACTCCGGATAGACAGGAACATGTTGAGGGATCGATATGCGGACTGTATTTACGAATGATTAACAACAAACAATAACTATTTAACAATTTATTAACGAAACGATGAATGACGCCATTTGAAAACGTCCGACTATATCAAAACAAAAAACAACAAGAGCTCTTCTTTTTCGCCAAATTAAAAGATAAACGAAGCCAAAGCCGAGAGAGGAGCCAACACTGGCTATTATTAATAATTACATATGAAATTTGGTTAGTACAGTAATTTTTAACGCATTTGGCGTATGGTAATTTCCTTCAACATTTCCTAATACTCATGGTAATTTCCTGTGCAACCAGCTAAACAATGTCATTTTCTTGTTTATTTTAGATGCTTGTTTATTTAGATTGGATTGTTTATTTAGATCTTGTTTATTTTCGATTATTTAGACGGACATCTGCACTTTGTGCATGATGCTCATAAGTTATATGAATACTTGTGCTAGACGGTTTTATTTCTTTTCGATTGTATTTACTTTTTAAAACACTTAACCGTAAAAAAAGCATTTGTGTAGGATATGCCGCATCAAACTATACCGGGAAGTGGCCCTTAACTTAAAAAAAGAAGAAGAAAAACACCTGTGCAGAGATATAACGGGTAGTGGCACTTAACCTTACAAAACATCAGTGTAGGGTAAACCGGGCAATGGTAACTTTGACTATTCTGATTGTTAATAATAGCCGTTTTCCATATGCTAACACAGTCAAATCTCGTTATAGTGAACCTTCAAGGGACCGAAATTTCTGTTCACTATAACCGGGGTTCACTATATCCGATCAGCAAACAATTTTAACTAATGGTTCCGAACTCCTTTTTATTATACATTACTTAAATAAATGACCAATAAAATGAAATACAAAAATGACTGAAAAATTATACGTAGTAACAAAAAATGTGTTAACTTGCTTTTATTTTTTATTACTCTTCGTCTTGTGTACAAAAAAAAATTGCAATCTTTAGCTGATGCAGGGAAAAATTTGTCCATACATCTGCCTGGGTAGGCCTTTGTTTAGGGATGGAAAAGTGTGATAAAAGAAGCAAACAAGAGAAAATGCTTATATCTACATTCCACTCTCATTAGATGGTTTTAAAAATCAGTATAAGTATTTATTTTGAAGTAGACATTTCGAAATTATTAAAAAAAAATTAAGATAAAAAATCAGTCGAAGACAGAAAAAGTTCATAATATCCAACTTTTTCATTTTTTTAGTTCACTATATCCACAAAAAATAACATTATACGTGTGGCAAGGAACGAGACCGAACATTTCGTTCACTATATCCGGAAGTTCACTATAAACCGTGCTCACCATAGCGGGGTTTGACAGTATTTTCATTCATCTTTTTTAATGATATTGAAATTTATGAACTCAAGATTTCAAAAATTATTAAAAGAATCAATCCATAGAAATAATGATACGATTGAATTCTTAAAGCTCTTATTTTAAATTTAAACTTAGGTAAAAATCCGCCTTTCACGCATTCCTTTTTTTTTAAACTCTACAAGACAGATTCATTATCACTGCACATATAAAAATTACGTTTGAGTTGAAATTTCAATTAATTATGCCTAATTAATTACACCTACCAAACTTTAAAGGCAATTATTAATAATACCCACTTAGTGTGATTAATGTGCATAGTTGCAAGACATTTACCAAAAAACTTGTTTATTATTAATAATAGCCGGTTATTATTAATAAACATATTTGTAACATTTATATTAAAAAATAGTACGTTTTTCGCTGGATTTCAAAAACGATACTTTGCGATCATAACGAAGTTTTCGAAATTCTCTGATAGTATGAAATTATTTAATCCGTGATTTATTTAAAAAAATTATATTTCTGAGTAAAATCTAAAATTTTTAAATCAGCATGTGCTCAATTAGCGCAAGGTGGTAAAGGAATAAAGCGACAGATTTTAAAAAAAAAATGTTCCCGGCTATGGGAAGGATCCCATCGGTTAGTTACTTGAAATACAAAAGTCGTCGTCAGTCCGCTTTTCTACTGCTCAAAAAAGTCACCTTGAACAGATAGTTACTTTAAGTTGTCTTTTCAATTGGAATTTCAGAAAACAGCTAAAAAAGGATTTGTGAAGAAATTTTTTTTTTTTTTTTTGCTACATGCTATTTTTGCTATTCATACAAAGATGCCAAAAATATAAAAATTTCAATTTCGAATTTTTTCGCTTACATTGGTTTTTTAATGGCACGACAGTTTAGTGGTTATTAGAAAGGCACTTGTGTATTAAGACAAATCTCTGCAAGAAGTATCAAAATTATCTTTTCTTTTTTAAATGAAATTCAATCTTATATTGTTATTTTAACGTTTCATTCATTGAGACTCTTAACCAATTGAACATTTAAGCAGAGCTAGAAATTTAAAAAAAAGCAGAGACATCTAAGGATAAGAGCTGGACAATCCTTAATGAAAACCCCAAGTATGTTCTAATGATCCTAGAAAAACAACTGACGCTGATTTTAGACTTTTAGCTGGACATGACTGTCTGAGGTCTCACCTGATTGTTCTCTTTTTGACTCCGGTCTTCTCATAACTGCTGACGTGTGCCATGCACTACTGAATTTTAACTCTACAATGGAAAAAAACTGGAGAGCACGTGCACTAATGACAAAGTTGCTATTGTGCGCAATAGTGTGTGGCATTTGCAAAATAAAAAATTGTTCTTAGTTTTTTATTAAAAGACAGAAGTCTATTTAACA